TACCATCTATGCTTTTGAGGTACAAAGAGCACTTGATTTTGTCCACCAAAGTAGTTTTTACCATTATATCTAAAATATAATACAAAAATCCTTTATAACCCCATCTTTTTTGTTTTTCTTCTCTCTCCTTGGAAAATTGCTCAGTTGCATTAACCAACTTCCCAGTGGAATTTGTACTTTTAATGATTAATGGAGAATTTCTCTATGGCTGTCATACATGACTAAAATGTTAAAGTCATTACATAAACACCTCTTACCTGCCCATACAAGTTGTACCTATTGACATAATTTTTATGAAAAGTCAGCTTTAGATATTGTCCAACTGCATCCACATACACTGATTTCAGCTCCCGTGCTTTGTACCGAGTCTTCTCATTGTCTGATAGGGATACATAACTGTGGGAGAAAAAACAGATTAACTGTAAAAAGCATGCAAGTTGGCAAGGTATATTTTGATGGGTTGTAAAACTCCCCTGAGAACTAAACCAAAGAACACCAGTTGAAGATGTTGTACCCTTGCCTTTTTGCTTAAAAGCAGCTCTACAAACTAATTTAGTAGCCACTTGAAGTCAGCAGGTGTCTTTTCACTCACTTCAGTAGGCTTTGGAGTTGAATAAACACAGTAGCTCTGGTCCCAAACTGAGAAAGTGTGTACGTGGATTCTCTGCCCAAGTCTCTACATAAACAGAAGCCACTGAAGAACTGGAACCAATGTGTTAAAGAAACATTGTGGCATTAAATATGCCTCAGTATTAAAACAATACTGGACTAGAGAGATGCATCAAACCAATCAACAATCACCGTTCCCCTAGAATTGCAAGGCACCGAAAACTTCCATACATAATGATATTAATGTAGTTATAAACATCAGTTTCAAGCTATTTCAGGAAGGGACCACATTGGTTTTCTGTTTGTGCCTGGGAGAGTCAAAATGATGACAGATGCTTCTAAGAGCTACCACATTACAAAAAAATTACATCTTCCATGTTTCAGGGGTGTTGGTTATAGACATGTTAGTCAAAGCACATAGGCAGACAAGGACCTTGGATAAATATGATGTGATACCAGCTGCATTCTATCACCAGTTCAACATTCCCTCCTTTCCCCTTCTCCCCACACCAACCTACCTGTCTCCCACCTATTATCTCCCATCCCTTCTGATCTTTCCTGCCATGCATTTGCGTTTTCACAGACCTGCATTTTTTATATTGGCTTAGGAGAGCGCACAAACACCAGCAGGCTCTCCCTATGCCTGAAGAAGGGTGTTTGTGCCCAAAAGCTTGCAAACAATAATTTTCCAACTATTTAATGGGTCTAATAAAGGATATCACATTTACCCAAAGAACCTTGTCTGCCACATTACAAAAAAGTATTCAATACATGTCTCCCCTGTGAGTCATTGAAAGGAAAAGAATGAGCATGCTTTCTCCATGTGCGTATGAGACGTGCACAGAAATGTCAGCCAATAAACCTCCAAAATATCTGAACTTACATTTAATCTAAGCCCACAGAAAAGACTAGACAGCAAAATTCTGTTCTCAAGTACCCACCCACTGTCTTCTACTTTATTACTTTGGGGTTCCACAGGGACATCCGGGGGCAGAATTTCTATTTCACTGTTTGGAAAATATCTCAGCAACATTTCACCCAAGGCTAACACATACACTCCACTCCTTTCTGGTTCAAAGAACAGAACCAGACTGTCTCTTGACTTACCCTAGCCTTCGAAACCGTTCCGACTGGTAAGGTGCAAAGTATTCAGGAAGATTTTCACTGATGTAAAACTCAATTTTACTTGAGATCATGTACTGGTGTGCAAGCAGCTGCAGCTTTCGAACGCGACATCTCTCCACCATCTGAAGAACAATTTCTTGTGGGTACTGACAGAGTCTAGAAGTGAACAGAACTTGCAGTAGTCATCATGTTAAAGATTTACTGCCATTTTCAATCACATTTTTGTGTTGCAATCATTTAGCTATCACAATTACTTACAAACCTTAAGATTCTAAAGACTACAATACAAAAAAAAAATCTTGTCTTTTCAGTTGCGTGCATGTGGTACCTTGCTTGCAGTGCATATATACAGACCCTGCCCTGCTGGCTACATGGACCTTTTCAGGAAACTGAAAAACATTTAAAAAATTTAAGGACCAGCTTATTGCTTTACTAAAAAATTGGCAGGGTTACTTAGCAACAGATGGATTGCCCGAGAATACTTTTTTTTTTTTTTAAATTACTGGATTTCAAACTGGTGGTATTTCTGATTGTACAGGGGGTGGGAGCAGCGGGGGGTTGTTTTTTGAGGATAAAGATTGAACAGGATGAATAGAAATATGCAACTTGGTTGACAGTTCAAGGAAAATTTATTTCCTGAGCCAGCAAGCTGTTCCGGATAGGAACGTGACTTTGAAAGGGACTCATTTGAGCAAGGGGCTGCTTGAAGCAGTTCACAGAATTGGTATTGAACTTTGAGGAGCTCTTTGTATTTCATCTGAAGTTCAAGAAGTTATGTAAAACCATAATCCTACAATGATGATTAAATAAGCCCAAGAAATCAAAATTTAAGACCAGGTTAAAAGAGATTAATTTGTTGACTGCTTTTTTCTCTCGTTTGTAAATGAATTGTATTTAATACTTTTTTACAAAATATTAAGAGCTTTTATCACTTATGGTACCTTGGTGATCTCCATCCATTAACTGTTGGTGCATGAACCATCAGCTCCTTTGCACTGAAGCCATCTTCATGTCCTGATGAACTGAGAACTACAAACCCAACCTTGTGTGGCATTCTGCGTTTAAAACAGAACGGTAAAAACACTATGTGATCGACACACAAACAAAACACCACGACAACAACAACGACGAGACTTGCCGTCTGTACTTGGAGGGAGAGCTGCTTACTTGGATGGCTCTTCTTTAAGAGCCGTTGGCACATTCGGATTTAGTTTAAGGACCTATTACATATTTTTTGTATAAATAAATATCAGTAGTTTGGGGGTAACTTTACCAGCCTCCTCTAATAAAAGCAAAGAAACCTGAAAATTCAGATGGATTCCTTAAATATTTGTTCAGTGCCAGGATTTCCTCTAAACAGCTTTTTCTGGGCACTTCCTAGGGGCTTCTCAAGCCATTTCCATTAACACAGGGAGCATCAACAAAATGCTTCAGGATTAGTTTTGCAGCAGAATTAAAAGACGGCGCAGAGGAGGAAAGGGGGCTGGAAGGGGCGGCCAAGAGGAGGCTTTCCTGGAAACCCTCTGGGGTCAGACCCCCACCCACGCACCGCGCCGTCTCCGCGGGCCGGGGCCGGGGCCGGGTGGGGGCAGAGGAGCCGACACCAGTCTCGTTA